ATGCCGGGGCGTTCCTCTATCCACCACCCGAGGACGCGCCACGTCGGAGTTCACCTCTCCGCCCACTCGGACACCCGAGCAGGTCCGTGGAGGGCTCGGAGCCTACCCTAAGTTAGGGTGACTACGCCTTAGTCAACCACGCTGGCCAAGTGCGGGTTGACTTGACACATATCTTTGAATTTCTTTGGTGATCTTCTTAACTAAAAATGAGTAAATTTAATTCTACCAACACTTAATTTTAAGGTCTAATTAATCAGGCCTAATTTAAGTACCTTTCTCTTTACCACCCTTTTCTTATGAGAGGATGGGAAGGGGAAGTGGATTTGACGATGGAGGAGATTCATAGAAAGAGGAAATATCCTCTTTCTCCTCCGTCCCGTTTCTCCTCCGACTCCTCCTCCGTCGGATAAGGGTAGGCGACGCATCTGCAATTGCAGATGTCTATGGGCAGTGGTCGCTTCGCCATTTTGACGGATTCAGGCCGCTTGCTAGTTTATGTTATAAAAAAAAAAACCTTAAGAAGTTCACGCTAGATAGTTGTCTTAGAGCGGGTGCACACCTTTGACTAAACTATAGCACAAGAGTTGTGCGATTGTCGATTGTTTTGCAGCCAATTCAACTGTTTAGTTGCTAAACTTAGGGCTTCCTGAAGAATATTAAAATTCACAATATCTGATGACATATTTATAACAAACAGAAGTTGTTACGTTGGCTTAATTTATCAATAATATGAGCATAAAATACTATCTTGAGTTTCATCATCACCAGCTCACTATACGTCCCCACCGAGGGGCTCGGTGGCCTAATAAGGGGTGACTAGGCCATAGTCAACCACGCTGGCCCACTGCGGATTGGTTGACTTCACCTAATCTTTGAATTTCTTCGCCGATATGTGCAGGCATCACGATGTTTTCCTTCACCGTAAGAACGTCGGGTAAATTATGTACATATGAAAATTCGAAAAATCGAAAATCACATTGGTACATGGCGGGATTCGAACCCTAGACCTGTATTACAAGCCAAGTGTTTAAACCACTGAGCCACCGACGCACTTCGACTATCTTGAGTTTATCTCCAACTATTCTAGAATTAAATTCATTATGTCGCTGTGTGCGTGTTTTATCTTGAAATCTGAAAAACTTGCTACGGTCTAGAGGATAATGAGCTTAACTTACATTTTGCTGTAAAAAGAAAATATAACAGTTTTAGGTATTTCGATACAAATGATTTAAAAAAAAAATAAACGGCCCAATCAACAATACTTGTTAATTACTTTAAAACTTACACAAAGTCAACTGCATATGTAAAGATATCGAACGTTCCGTGGTGACGACTAAAAATGTACTCAGCTATTGAGCTTCTGAGTGAATAATGGACTGTCGGACCGTGCCCTGTGAGACTCCTTGCAAGTGTTTTATAAAACTACCCCCCACTTTTCATACTATTTCTTAACAACAGTGTATATAAAATATAGAAATTAATGTTTTTCTAAATAATCAGTCCTACCAAATTGTAAATTGCCTATCCAACGTGTAAAATATGTGATGGAATATCGGATTTTGTTCCCTTATCTGACAGTGACGTCTTTTTTGAGCTATCTGTGCCTCTATCGGCCAGTGGGACAGGCCTTTACACTTACAGACTATCATTGGTAAAAATTGTTATTGTGCAGACGATTATAAGTACAGAATTACTAGTTAGTTTATAATTTTATTAATTTATTTAACACAAGAATAAAACTTTCTTTATAGAAGTACATTAAATACGTTCCTTAAACAAATATTAAAAATGCGAAAGTTTGCCGCGTAAACTGCTGAACGGATCTCGATGAAATTAGGCATAGATTTTTTTTTATGCTATAAGGTGTCAAGCGACCATCTGAATCCTCCGAAATAGACAGCGACCGCTGCCCATAAACATCCACAATTGCAGATGCACTGCTTACCTTTAATTGACGAAGGAGGAGACGTACATCTCCTCCACCGTCAACTCCACTTTTTCTTCTCATCATTTCCTTTTTAAAAAGGTCTCTTCATCACTCCCTTTTTGATCATGTCACCTTTCACGCAATCCAACTCTTTCTACGTCTACCTCTATGTTTAATTTCATAAAACAAAAGACGTTCTTTATACATTCCACAAATTTAACTTCTGTTTTGTAACAATTACATAAGCGTTAAGTTTTTATGAAATTCTTAGTTTTATAACCGAGTTCTTTCTGTTCTTACGACATTGATTAATGATTGAAAAAGCTAGGTCTGATTTTTTTACCATTCGTTTTATAAATATTTATTACATTGAAAATAATAATCTATACTTCTATACTAATGCAATAAAGCGTAAACACACACTACTTCGTGGCGTATGATGTCAGAAATCACAGCGTGTTTTTTAATAATTGTTTCTTTAGTAAAAAAAACTGTACACTTACAACAAACTTTCGGCTATATATTTTGACGCTATTAAATTTATGGGGTAAATTAATTGAATAAAAGAAAAATTTTAATGTTCTTAAGGGACCATAAACTACAAGCAACATAAAGGAAGCAGGGTCGGTAAGGTTAATTTTGACATTTGCAATTGAGCATTTGACAAATGTAAAGCACG